GTATATATATATATATATATATATATAAAAAAAATAAAAAGACATACATTGAGTATGGCTATATGCCACGACGAACATATCTATTGAATATACACGATAAGAATTTGAAAACAAAATTTTCCGAAGTTGAGAATTCGCATTCTCCCTCAGATAAAAATATGTATATGCACATATCATTCTGAATATTCAACAGAAAACAACAACACTTTACTATAATTAACAACCTCCGAATTTCGTTTTCCTACATTCAATAATAAGACAGTTATAGGGGAAATTCACCCAGTATACGTGGTTTCGTGAAGTACTGAATATATTCATGTTCAGCCAAACTAGCCATTTCAGAGGAATCACCTGAGGCAGGTCGATTTTTCTTTTCGATTTGCCACATTTACACGGAAAATTAAATTCACAAGTTGATCCACGTTTGAGTAATGACTTCCACGACAATTTTATCAAATGAATATACAGGGTGATCCACGTTTGAGTAATGACGTCAGCGACAATGTTTTCAAATGGAACACCCTATACCGGGTGACACAGGGTATCGGGTCACTCCTGCAACTTCTGCATTCGTGAACGGATTTTTTCTGACATTTGATGAATATAATCCCAGTAAATTACTTATAAGAAAGATTACGAAAAATAAAGCTGTTGACAACTCGTTATTTGCCCAAATTCATTGTACCAAGATAAGATCTTTACATTATACAGTAAGTTTCATCACCTTGAAATTATTAAAATGTCAGTAACTTTATTACATTTGCAATCATCTTCATCCACAGTGTTGTCACTTCCTCTACAATATTTTGATTTTCACTATCTGGAATTTGAGATCCCAGATATTTATATATTTTTAGACTCTATCGGAGAATATAATTCGTTCCTCATTCCCATTGCATTTCCTTTTCCTGTAGGTGAAAGGCCGCTATTATCTTCAAATTTGTTCTTAAGGGATTTAGTTTTTTGTACGTTCCTTACGCCGGCACGACCACTTCAACAAAATCAAAAAAAAATTGTACCAGAATTTAGTGCTTTTTAGTTGCTGATTTGTTCCATTTTCCAAAAATTTTTTGCTTATGCAGATATAGCAAATATTGAGTCCATGCCAGCTTCACGAGAAGTTGGCACGGCAACTTTTTCATTTTAACACCGAATTTGGAAACAAATATACCAAATTGTAGTGCTAATTTGTTCCCCCATTCGAATTTCCGCATTTATCTCCATTACTGAAAACATTGAATACATGCCAGCTTCTTGTTGGCACGGCAACTTTTTCATTTCAACACCGAATTGATACCAAATTGTAGGTAGTGCTAATTTGTTGCTAATTTGTTTCCTCATTCAAATTTCCACAATTATCTTCATAACAGATAAAATTGATTTCATGACAGCTTCACGAGAAGTTGGCACGGCAACTTTTTCACTTCAATACCGCATTGGAAAACAAATATAACAAATTGTAGTGCTAATTAGTTGCTAATTTGTTCCCCCATTCAAATTTCCGCAATTATCTTCATTACAAAAAAAATTGATTCCATGCCAGCTTCAGGATAAGATGACACAGCAATTTTTTTATTTTGTTATCTTATTGTAAAACTGACGTACAAAAATGTAGCACTAATTTGTTGCTAATTTGTTCCCACTTTGAAATTTTTCCATTTCTCTTCATCACAGCAAACAGTTGTTGCATCCAGCTGCACCATCATCTCCGTCTCTATGTTGAATTCAGAATGTTCGTTGTCGGATCATGGTGTTCCTGATACAATATTTCTGTTTATCGTTGTTTCTATAGGAAGTAATGATGAAAGAAGATTCCCTGCTGGACTAATTTCCCGAGTACTCCGTTAACTTACATAAAAACTAAAAAATGATCATGCCAGAATTTGTTGCTTTCTTGTTGTTAATTTGTTCCTCTTTTAAAATTTTCTTTGTTTTTTTTTACGGAAATGATGATGATAGAAGATGCCATGTTAGACTAATTTCTCGAGAACTCTGTTAACTGACATAAAAACTCAAAAACGACCATGCCGGAACTCGTTGCTTTCTTATTGCTAATTTGTTTCACTTTGAGAATTTTCGTTGCTCGTTTTTTACTTGGAAATAATGATGGCTATGCTAGATCCATTTTTTGAGAACTACGTTATTTGACAAAAAGAATTTGTTGCTTTCTTGTTGTTTATTTGTTCCTCTTTTAAAATTTTCGTTGTTTTTTCTGTTTCGGAAATGATGATGATCTCGATGATGATAGAAGATGTGATGCTAGACTAATATCTCGAGAACTCCGTTAACTGACAACAAATTCTGGCATTATCGTTTTTGAGTTTTCATGTCAGAGAACAGAGTTCTCGTGAGATGGATCTAGCATAGCAGCTCATTTCATCATAATTTAAAAAAAAAATGAGCAACGAAAATTCTAAAAGGGGAACAAATTAGCAACTTGAAAGCAACAAATTCGGGCATTATCGTTTTTGAGTTTTCATGTCAGATAACGAAGTTCTCGTGAGGTGGATCTAGCAAAACAGCTCATTTCATCATCATTTAAAAAAAAATTAGCAACGAAAATTCTAAAAGGGGAACAAATTAGCAACTTGAAAGCATAAATCCTGGCATTATCGTTTTTTAGTTCTCATGTCAGATAACGGAGTTCTCGTGAGATGGATCTAGCATAGCAGCTCATTTCATCATAATTTTCAAAAAAATGAGCAACGAAAATTCAAAAAAGGAAACAAATTAGCAACTTGAAAGCAACAAATTCTAGCATTATCGTTTTTGAGCAACGAAAATTTTGAAAGGGCAACAAATTAGCAACTTAACTTGAAAGCAACAAATTCTGGCATTTTCGTTTTTGAGTTCTCATGTCAGATAACGGAATTCTCGTGAGATGGATCTAGCATAGCAGTTCATTTCATGATGTTTTTGTGTTCATAAATGTATCTGAGAATTTTCCTTTTCAATCATTTCATCATAATTCAAAAAAAAAATTAGCAAAAAAAATTCTAAAATGGAAGCAACAAATTCTGGCATTATCGTTTTTGAGTTCTCATGTCATATATCGCAGTTCTCGTGAGATGCATCTAGCATAGCAGCTCATTTCATCATAATTAAAAAAAAAAACGAGCAACGAAAATTTTAGAAGGGAAACAAATTAGCAACTTGAAAGCAACAAATTCTGGCATTATCGTTTTTGAGTTTTCATGTCAGATAACTGAGTTCTCGTGAGATGGATTTATCATAGCAGCTCATTTCATCATAATTAAAAAAAAAACGAGCAACGAAAATTTTAGAAGGGAAACAAATTAGCAACTTGAAAGCAACAGATACTAGCATTATCGTTTTTTAGTTCTCATGTCAGATAAAGGAGTTCTCGTAGCAAAGCAGCTCATTTCATCATCATTTAAAAAAAAAATGAGAAACGAAAATTTTAAAAGCGGAACGAATTAGCAACTTGAAAGTAACAAATTCTGCCATTATCATTTTTGAGTTCTCATGTCAGATAACGGAGTTCCCGTGAGTTTGATCAAGACGGATCTAGCATGGCAGCTAATTTCATGATCATTTAAAAAAAGAGCAACGAAAATTCTAAAAGGGAAACAAATTTACAATAAGTAAGCAACAGATCCTGGCATGATCGATTGTGAGTTTTTATGTCAGATAATGAAGTACTCGTGAAATGGATCTAGCATGGCAACTTATATCATCATCATTTTCAAAAAAGAAGAACAACGAAAATTTTAAAAGGGGAACAAATTAGCAATTTGAAAGCAACAAATGCTGACATTATCGTTTTCGATTTGCATGTCAGATAACAGAGATCTCGTAAAATGGATCTAGCATATCTAGCATGGCAAATAATTTCATCATAATTTTCAAAAAAAAAAACGAGCAACGAGAATTCTAGAAGGGTAACAAATCAGCAATCTCGGAGCAACAGATTCTGGGAAGATCGTTTTTGAATTATTATGTCAGATAAAAAAAGAGCAAGAATTTTGAAAGAGGAATAAATTGAAAACAAGAGAGCAAAAAATTCTGGCATGATTGTTCTCGGGTTTTCATGTCTGCAGATAACGGAGTTCTCGTGAAATTAGTCTAGCAAAGAATCTTTTTCCATCTCTTCTTTAAAAAAAAAAACGAACAACAGAAATATTAAACCAGGTACACCACTATCCGACAACGAACATTCTGGTATGATCATTTTCAATAATTCAACATGTCATATAGACATTGTTGCTTTGCCAGCCTTATAATGGTACAGCTGGATGAAACCACTTTTTTCTATGATGAAGAGAAATGGGAAAATTTAAAAGTGGGAACAAATCAGCAACAAATTGGCAATACAATTTGATATATTTATTTCCCAATTCGGTGTTGAAATGAAAAAGTTGCCGTGCCAACTTCTCGTGAAGCTGTCATGAAATCTATTTTTCTGTTATGAAGATGTGGAAATTTGAAGGAAGGAACAACTTAGAAACAAATTAGCACTACAATTTGGTATATTTGTTCTCGTGAAGCTGTCATGAAATCAATTTTTCTGTTATGAAGATGTGGAAATTTGAATGAAGGAACAACTTAGAAACAAATTAGCACTACAATTTGGTATATTTGTTTCCCAATTCGGTGTTAAATGAAAAAGTTGCCGTGCCAACTTCTCGTGAAGCTGGACTCAATTTTTGCTATATCTGCATAAGCAACAAATTTTTGGAAAGTGGAACAAATCAGCAACTAAAAAGCACTAAATTCTGGTACAAAAATTTTTGGATTTTGTTGAAGTGGTCGTGCCGGCGTAACGTACGTTTTTTTGTGTATATTTCAGCTTTTCATATCCTTCCAGACTCTATCGGAGAAGATAATTTGTTCCACATTCACATTGCTACTCTTTTCCTGTACAAGGCCTCTCTCATCTTTAAATTTGTTCTGAAGTGATTTATTTGTGTGTATCTCTTATTATAAATTAATCAAATTCCTCAGATTTCAGTGATAATAAACAATCATATTTTTCTTAGAATTTACAAGACTATGGAGATACCGAATTGAAACAATATTGGATGCCTGATTCTGTAAGCAAGGAATGCTATGAATGTTCAGAAAAGTTCACAACTTTCCGTAGAAGACATCATTGTAGAGTTTGTGGACAAATATTTTGTTCGCAATGTTGTAATCAGCAAATACCTGGGAAAATATTCGGCTGTACTGGTAAGATTTATTGTTGGCTCGGTTTTCGTTAGTAGGTATCAGTTTGATTGATATATTTTATTTCAGGTGATTTGAGAGTTTGTACATATTGCTGCAAAGTAGTTCTCTCATATTTGCAATCATCTGACTTCGCAATAGATTTATCTACAGATTTGAGATGTCTTCAGGAAAGTTTACAGTCAAAATTTGGAGTTGAGACTCCAAAAATATCAGATGATACAAATTCGAAAACTCCAAGTACTAGTTTATCGGATGGAAATACTTTGAGACGAAAAATTTCTGTTGGTTACCAGGAAGAAACATTTGCTTCTGGAGGGTATGTTGAATTCACAGTACCTACTTTCGTGCCCACAATTCTATTGATATCAATTTACATTTTACTTTGTTATTCTGAGCATAATGAAACATGCATAGCTGTCTTCAAAAACAATTATTCCAAAGGTCTCTAATGTATGTGTAATCTGAAATTGAAAATATTATAAAATGTTTGCCCGTAGCCTCGACCGGAGATGATTCCGCACGATTCACTGTTGCGTTCCAATTAACAGTGCTGCTCCTAAGGTGGCGTATGGAGTCAGTAACAAAGCCAACACAGAACACACATGGCTGAAGGACCTACCTCTCGTAAGGTCGATGGCCAGTTGGTGTGCATGTACATACATACACACCAAAGTACATATACTACTACTACTTTGCCCGTTGAAGGTCAAACTAATCAAAATATAATGAAATGAAACACATTATGTTATAGCAATATCACGTAATATCGGCAGAGAGGATGAATTATATTCGTTATATTGTGTTTACACGACCTAATAATAATTCACATATATTCGCAACTTTGATGATGAAATATCTTGTAGCACCCAAGAAGGCCGGGAACTATCTAGTATTAGTTGGATCATATATCTGAGACCAGTTAATAATAATTATATTATATAATTATTCGTCTATGACTGAGCTGTTTCAGTTCTCGATCTGCTTCAACGTCGAGGAATATGAACATGCTAACCGAGAATAGTCTTCTGTACTTTGACCCTTCGTTAATGTATCATGTTTCTTACTAATATTGCTAAAATTTCACAGATGAAGGATTTTTAATGAAAACTTCACTGTATCGTTCCGATTGAACATCGCCTAAATCTGTGACAAGAGTTGTAGATATTTTAGTTGTTTTCATTATTTACTTGCTTGAGCAAGAAATGAAATAGGTACCGTAGGAACCGTAGACGCGGAAGTTAAATATTTCGGGTGGGCAGGAGTATAAATAGTAGTACGTTCAATAGTATGATATTTCTAATACATCCATTTATATGCACAACCATTCAATAAGTTAAGATAATGGCGGAAGAGGAAATATTCCCCAGCATTGATTGCTGAAAGTTAACTGGGTGATGGGGTTGTACACACGGTATATATCTATTTTATTTTGATCAATCCATGTAATAATAGTACTTGCTACAGTCATACATGATTTGAACGAGTACTTTATTTCAATAATCAAAACAACCACATCTCAAAAACGCTAGCTCCCGATGACGTGACATACCGATAAGCTTTATTAGTGTTTTATTGGCCCAAAACGAATGAGAACATTTCCAAAAAAAATACACAGTGTATAATAATACACCCCCCTAAAATTTTAAGCTGTAAACCGATTTCAATTTTTTTTTGAAATGTCAAGTACTAAAAGGTCTACCTTGGAACAAAATTTGAAATGTTTATTCCAATTTTCATGGCATACTACGATATTTCCTCTTAGTCGAACGATGACATTGCTAAAATAAAATCAACAAGGTTGTATGTCATTTCATTCTGACATTCCAAAACTTCATCATTAAAATCATGCACGATTTCGACATTCCTGGCGAGATATTAGCTGCAGCCAACACAATAAGGTTGAACTTGCTTCCATTATGAAAAAGAATATCGGCAGTTTTGTGAGTGGCGGAACAAAGTACATGTTCAAGGTGCTGAAGAAACGGTGTTGCTGGCCTATTTCGCAAAACTCTTTGAGAAACAGTCTGCTTCATCCTTATGGCCAAATTATACCACGTTACAAGTGACTTTAGAACTGAAGGAAATAGTGGAAATCGAGAAATACGGCATCTTAATATCAAGAAGAAAAATGTAGGGTACAGAGCAAAAAAATCAAAAATATTTACTAGACAAGTCAACGAGTTTGTGCGTTCTGTCCCAGACGAGGAGTTTTTAATGATGGCTTTTATAATTGGAATTGGAGGAGCCTGTCGATCCAATAAATTAGCGAAGATGACCATGGAAGATTGTTATGTGTTTTATTTCAAGGGAATGCCCTAATATTATAAAATTATCATTAATCATTCATTTTTGAAATAATGTCCCTTGATTTCAACATGTAACAAGGAGGGTTGGTCATGGGCTCACAGTCTAGCTTTTAGCAGGGAAAGGGGGTGAGTTCGTAAACGATTCTCATAAATTCCAGAAAGGTGCCAATAGATCAAATGTTTCCAAAACCAATCAAATCGAGTATGTTAGTCATACAGAAATAGAACCAATACAATTTCTATATATATATTTGATATTTCATTAAAGGACAAATGCATTTAGACACCGGAGACTCGAGACAAAAGATGTATTTTTCACTAATTGTAATAATTTGACAATCTTAGAAAATCAATGATATGTTTCAGAGGGTCGTGCACATACTCTCGCGAGAGGGGTGATTTAGATAGGATAGTCGTATTCAAAATTATACAGTTCATCCATTTTGGTACATAATTATACAGGGGACATCGACAAAAGGGGTTGACAATAATTAATCCTAAATTATCGGGTTATTCAATAACAAGTTCCCAAATTCATTGACTATCGAGTCCAAATCAATACAAAGTAAAGTCGCGTGTAGGTTATTAATTTGCACTAATTAGCGCACCCTGGTGATGCAATTTCCGGAAACTAGATGGAAACACAGGATATAGTTCAGGAAAATGTTCAGGATATTGACTTCTTCAATCCCTCAGGCGATTATTAGATAGCTAGGAACAAAAAAGGCCGCTATGCGGTACTCAGCCCTAATCCCTGGAATTCGGGAGAATCCGGGAGCGGTCCTACGCCCAGAGTACCGAAACCAATGATAGGGTAGGTAGCATGTTACCTTGTTCACCTCGATAAGCCCTTGATATCAATTATTTATACTGCTACCAAAACGTCTGAAAGGGAAATTTTCCGGTTAGGTGATTGAAAATAAAATAGGAATATTTCGAATATGCTGTGAAAAGTTTGTTTGTGTGAATACAGTGTGCAAAAACTCACCTTTGAATATCGAGACCCTAAATAATCCGAAGACGTTCAAATCGACGCACAACAAGATACTTGGATCCTCAAAAGAGAAATTTGACGGTACTTACAACTCTACAATGATTGCCTAATAGTACCCGCCAAATGAACTGATGAATTGACCCGCCTATAGCGAAAAATTCAAAACAACAATAATTCTGCTCAGTACTCTGTATCGACTAACACACACTGTTCCTTCAAAAAACGTGAAAAATGATAAATGGTTAAAATTCGTATTTTGGGCAAAAAATTAATTTTCCATTCCGTCGCTATAGGTAGAGTCCCTGTATGTATTTGACACTTTTGCTGTAATAAGAGTACGGACACTATGACAAGCAGTGCAGAAGGCATAACCCTGAAAAATTTGAAATGACATGAACAATTTGGCGGGCACTGACAGTTCATGAACGTACATGACATTAAATTATTTGAAAATTCAGGTTTTCAAGAATTAAAATGTCAAATTGTGTAGTGGAGAATTGCAAAAATGGAAGCCAGTCCTTTCATTTATCCCATTTCCCCCATTCTAACCAACAAGTACATATACTCTTTGTTAAGTATATCGAGAAATACTTTCAACGAATTGATTTACAAACTATGACCCCTTTTTGCCAGTGAGATGAGACGCCACTTCTTTATGAAAATAAAGACAGAGAAAGATATATGGATGTACCCTTCACCGCGGCAGTAGAGGATAGAAGATCCGAAGTGCATGGAAAAGCATATCCATGTCTTTGTTCAAAAGTCATTTTGAGAATTTGGGGTTATGCCTTCCGTCACTGCTTGTCATAGTGTCCGTACTCTTATTACAACAAAACTGACAAATATATACAGGGAATTATGCATACAGGGACTCTAGCTATATGCAGCACCTCTCGGGTATGGATTTGAGAATTGATCGTTAAATGGGTTGCCTGAATAATTTCTCGCAAAAACCTAACATTCCCCTAAGTCACTAAAAAAAAAATCATTTTTTAAATCTAATTTGATATCTTCAACATGCCAGGTTCCTAAAGATCGATTAGTCTCAAAATCTGTGAGCTCATAAACATTGGTAGATACCTTTCTGGCCACTCTACATTTTACAAATGTTGGTGCAAGTTTTCCTTGAAAATAGTCTGCCGCATCCGACAATTGCTTATTCCTTTTCCACACTATTTGTCCAACATTCAAGGTGACTGGTCGCCTACGCAGATTGTAGCGCTCACGGACGCGGTATAGGACTTAATCAAGCTATCTCTGACTTTAGAAAAACCTCGGTCATGTTAGCTCCCGGCCGGCCAGCTCCTAGCGGCACTTTTCCACCACCGGTCAATTTTCGTTTTCGCATTGCTCTTCGATCGTTTCGTACGCCGATCATTACTACTTCCTCTACTCATCGATAATATCCACGGATACGATGAATATTGATAATTTTTGTGTATTATCCCAAGTGGAAAGAAAAAAAAAGTACTCAGATACACTGTGCTCACCGTTATTCTGAGAGTCCATCGCGAACGTTAAGTGTTCGATTTCATGTTTTTCGATTGAATTTCCAGATTTTTCATCCACCACAAGAAATTATCAGCCAAGAAAAACAATCGATAGAAATATCAGAGGAGTACATGATCAATACAAAGGATTTTTTTCGTTACATCATGTCAATCCCAAAAGGCCGCCCCAAGGGTAGAACTTTTCGATGTCAAGCAATTCGATATGAATTCCTGAATTTTTTTCTACCATAAGAAATGACCGGCCAAAAAATCGATTAATGAAAATCGTAGAATGGTATATGTTCAATATGGAGGATTTTGTTTTGTTCTATTAGGTCAATCCCAAAGGGCCAGCTCCAAGGGTAGAATTGTTCGATGCAAGCTATTCAATATGAATTCCTGTTTTTTTTTTCTACCATTAGAAATGACCGGCCGATCGATTGATGGAAATTGTAGAGGGGTATATATTCAATATAAAGGATTTTTTTCCTTTCATTAGGTCAACCCTAAAGGGCCAGCTCCAAGG